TTTTTAGTGTGGTGAAATCATGAAATAATGAAATATGCTAAATAATTTAATGTTCCTTGAGCTAGAAAGGACAGATTATGTTTGAAATAATGTTAAACTGGGGTTAAAGGAAAATACCTATAGAGCATCTGTGAATGTGAAGGCTGTTTACAAGTGAATTCATTATGTGAAAAAGCTCAGAAAAGTCAAATAGGTGCTTATCGTAATCGTATCCAGGCACAATGTTAGTCGCCCCGGTATGTGCAAATCACATTGATAAAAGAATGCAACCCATAATTGAAATTAGATTGGGAATACAATATAGAAGGATGGTTATCCCACCCCTATTGTATCAAGATCATATTATGTTTGCATCTATATCTATAGAGAAAATGCAGCAATTTATGAATATAAATTAGGAACCTCAAAAACAAAATCTTATAAACTTAATCATTGATAACAGTATATGAAGAAAATGACTTCTAAGAACAAACATGGTAAGGACTAAAGTACCCATATTAGGAGATATTTACTTAGGAGATATAGAGAAATGCATAAACACTACAAAAGTGAATAGAAACAAATTAAAAAATAGAAACAAATTAAAAGATAGAAACAAATCTTACCACAATATTGGTTGACCATAATTCTAGATTAGGCACACAGCAACAGCTAGGTAGATTGAGATTCAGTCTGTGTCTACAATTTCAAACAAGTCTTTTTAGTGTGGTGAAATCATGAAATAATGAAATATGCTCAATAATTTAATGTTCCTTGAGCTAGAAAAGACAGATTATGTTTGAAATCATGTCTACCATATTTAATTTAAACTGGGGTTAAAGGAAAATACCTGTTTAATCAAATGTCATAATCAAATGTCATTTCGAGTCATCTTGAGCTCACTACACAAGTGGAAATTAGGACGACAGCTAACATTCTCAAGAGGTCCTTGAAAAAATATGAATCTCTGGCAATCATCTAACATCTCACAAGTTTCACTCACTCTGAAGTACAATTTTCTCGCTTCTGTAAGAAAATGTCTCCACTGCTGCTTCCCAACAACAAAGATGGCCTTTGACATGAAAGGGAGGTCCCTAGCTTTTCAGGAAGGGAGGTTGCTAAAGTTCTCTACCTCTAGCTGCATCTAATGAAGTGCTCAAGGCCCTGTTGATTGCCCCTCTTGTCTAATAATTGTTCGGCTTGAAATTTAATATCAAAATGCAAACCGAGGTTTTTGCTTTTCCAATAGAGAGTATGCTGAAAAGTTTTTTTTATTCGATATAAAAAGTTACAAACGAGACTACCGAAAACTTTACTGAATGGAAACTGCTATACTACATAACAAGAGCCTCCTAGCACAAACAACAATGTTAAAAAACGAATGGAGATTTAAAGATTTTTGTTCCTGCATTATTCGAATCCTTCGGAGGCCTGGATGTTCAAGGCCATATTGGATGACTTTTAACAAACCACGAGGCAACAATATTGCATGTACACTGTTGAGAAGATCACTTCTATTTACATCATAAGTATGGCAGCGCAGAAAATAGTGCTTCGATTTGTTTGGCATAAAGGGTTCAAAGTATCCCTAAAATTATGTTTGAATTGATGAACATTTAGCTTACTGAGTTCGACCCGTAGCTGTGTTAGGATGGACAAGCCTTTTGGATCATAAAAACGATTGACAGTGAAACTTCCTTGAAAATATTAATAGAGCTGGATAGTCTATTTTCAGAGTCGGGCCTTTCCCATTCCGATAAGCAGTTTTGGTAGAAGCTTAATTTGAAACATAGGGTTCTTTTTTCATTAGATTAGGTAATACAACATCATGACTAAAATCGCAAATAACATGTAGGATATGTTTTTTCTGAGGCTGCTGCTGGTGGGAGAAAAGGAGGATCAACCCTTAGACATAAAGAATGTCCCAAAATCTTTTACAAAATAGCGTTATAGAACTGACACAAATAATTTCAAGATGCTTATCTCCTAACTTACTAGTACTGGGAAGTCGGGCTTTCTCAAAAAGCGTCACTTACTCGAGGTGTTTTGCTCCTTGGGATGCTGTCAAGAAGCCGCCCGACTATTAAAATTTTTCAACGCCTTGCCAGTTTCCTACCAATCGCTTCGCCTTAGTCTAGAGGGAATAATCTATTCTTTTCTTGAAGTTTGATGTTGAATGGTACGGATGTCCTATTCAAGTGAAATGTTCCATCCAACACAGGTGTTTGATTCCGGAAAGATTGATGGTGGATAGAGACATGTCTTATGGGAAAGTATGAAAAGAAAAGACTTACTTTGATTTACCGGCTCTCTTCTCTATATAACCATTCTCGGTACCTGAAAAAAATCAGTTGGCATCAGTCTTTACACGATACATTAAAGATGAAGCGATCTTCTGTAAGACGTAAGTAAGGTTTTTGCTCTAATCGGCTCGAATTATACATATATTCATCATTTTAGTCTCAGGTAACAAGGCTATATCTAATGGTCTATATTCTTGTTCTAGGTTCCAGTGGGGGTATGGTTGATGGAGAAAAATTGAAGACAGAGCAACCCGAGACTACTGTGAAAGAGCAACTTGTTGATGTTGAAGGTAAAATAATATCGTCTTCTGTCATTACTAGGACACATAGTTCCTGTGTTCTGTCAAAACTAATATTGAATGAATGAGAAACCGTAGCAAACCAGATAGATCTTTGGTATGATAAAATTAATTATCTGTATGCTTTTTCCGTCAATCTTTTGCTGTAAAAATTTAGGACATACAATTTTCCTGTCACACGTTATCCAGGCGCTGCTATTTATTAGATCAGATTATCTTCCTTTTTGAAGCATTCGTAATTATTACACTATTACTAGGCGTAGCTTAATAACTTCAAAGGGTGATTCTTTAATTCTTTGGTAATGTCTCTTAAAATGTTTCAACTAAATTGTTAAGGCCTTTAGCATCAATGTCTGTAATCGTTTATTACCAATTGACAGAGTCTACGACTTATGAAAACTGTGAATCTCCTTGAAAAGCTCACAAAGTATTGCATTGGAGTTAGACATTCTGTGACTCTGTACTTCAAGATGTCTGAGGTTATCTTTGTTTTGTAAATTCTAAACGTTAATGAATATTACCTCTAAACCGAAGGCCAAGAGAAAAGATGGTTGGCATTTGAATCAAATGGAACATTGTGGATAAGCATGGAACAAGTGAAGGCTGAGTTCACAAAAAATATACAAAGCTCGACTCTCCGCAGCAGAATGCACAGATTGAAGATAAATTGCAAGAAATCTGAGGGGATCCTGCGCTTGAAGCTCGAAGAGAAATTTGGACCACGTAAAGGTGGGCATTACGTCATCCCATTAGACAGTCTTCATTTGCTGCTACAGAAGCAGAGTGTGCTTCAACTACCACAAGCAGCAGTCGCCAATGTGGAGGCGGGTACAAGTTACGAAGCAGCTTCAAGCATGCAGGATGGAGTGTCTTCATTTGAAGTATTTTTCGAAAAGCTCCAGGAATTCTACACGGATGAAATAAACCCGTTAAGACCATCAAACGGTATGACAGCAGGGACAATCGAACGCCACACAAGAAGGTTAAAGAAGTTCTTTGAACATGTAGAAGAGACATATAACAGACCCCCACAAATGGAGGATGTTACAAACATCAACTTTGTTAGGGCATATGTGGCGGAATTGAGGAGGGAGCTAAACGTGGGTACAGTTGCCAACCATATTCAAAGCCTGATAGTGGCAGCAAAATATATTCTGAAAAAAGAGGGCCTAACAAAAAGTTGGCATGAAATTGCAGAAATAACACAATTGAGGCACATGCAGGCCCAACTGCAAGTGAGTATTCCAGTTCACCTTAGCTATATATATTTTCGCTTTTCATTAGAAATTCTACAATAGGAACTTGAGTTGCATTTCATTCTATATCATAACATTAAATTCTGGCTGCCTAAATTCTACTGTCAAGAATGGTTGATGAAGCCAGCCGAAGTAGAGTCATTTAGTATATTCAATTTTTTTTGAAATTCTTTTTGACTACATTGGATTTTCACCGTCCTGTGGCTTAGTTAGCGGCTATTATTCCTATTTTAATCAGCGGACAGCATATCCTGCGTTCCTTTCTATTTACACATACATTTTACACATCGCTTTTTGATATTTTTAGTTTAAATTTACCACTGTTTTTTTAGAGCCTCTATGAGAGAGAGCGGAGACAAAGGTACCCGGAAGCCGATGAAAGAAAGAACTTTGAATGGAAACAGGTTTTAGAAACATTAAAATTGATGAGGGACAGGATAATTTCGTCGAAAGAGATGGATGGGTATCAAAAGGCAAGGTTATACCATGATTTTGTAATACTTTTATTGTTCACCACGGTGAGCCCATCAAGGAATGCAGATTTGATGAAACTAAAAATACTATTTGACGAGGAACAGGGAAGTGTTTCAGAAAACTACATTTTATTTAAGGAAAATGGCAGCACTACAATGGTTGTAAATGATTTTAAAACGAAGAAAAAATACGGGTGCAATAGAGTGGACATCTCCAGTTACGATTATGTCAACCAACATCTACGTAAATATGTTGAGGAGGAGAGGGAGAAGCTTATGTTGAGTAAGAGACATGATTTTCTTCTAATGAAGGGCAAGGGGCAACCATTTGACACATCTGAGTCGTTTACTGTTTACATCGAAAAGGCGTTTCAGCGACACAATGGGGGCTTGAAGTTCACAACTACGACCCTCTGAAAAGCGCTCGTAAACTGGCTAATGTGCAACGAGAAGGAGGACGAAGTAAGAAATTCAGTTGCAAGACTCATGAGCCACTCACCACGAGTTCAGCGCCTTCGCTACAACACAGATGATTCAGCAAGAAAAATAAAAAGGGCCGCTGACCACCTCACTTCTAAAACATTGACTTTTTTGGGAGAGGACGATAATGACACAGAAACAGAAGCAGAAGATACCCCTTTATAAATTTCACAAGGTTTAACGAACGTTAATAATTACATTATTTTAGAAAGCTAAGACATTGCTAATTTCGTGTTTTAGCTAGTCGTATTTTAGAAATTATTTAACATTACTTGTAACAATATTTTATCTTTCTGATCCAAGGTTGTCAACATAATCACTTTCCTTTGCCTTTTTTCAATCTTTATATGCATGTTTGTATTATTGCCTGTGTCATTTTTCATTAAGTAAGGTTAATTGATTGATTTGCGGAAAGCTCTATTTACTTTTCTGACCAGCAGTTTATCAACATATCCAACACATTTGCATGCTTTCTAGGCATATCAATTTACGGTGTATTATTCTCTGTCACCAATTCTATATACCAAAGCAGAAAACGTAATTAGTAGATTGAAATGGGCATGCCGTAGCATATCCTTGGCAGCATTTCATGCTTTTTGTATGCAGAAACAAGTTTAATTGCGCACTTAGCATGAACAAAGATTATGGGAGCTGAATTGATATCAAAATGATCGTTATCTTTTAGTTTAGTTTGTATTCCAAGGTAAACTTAAATGACTCATTTCTAAAGAAATAAATTAGAAATTGGAAATTTTATCAATAGCTAGATCGTCAACGAAAAGGTTTTTTGAGTTACATAAACAATTTTGCATGGTTATGTAGTGTACCTAACCACCTCAGCATTATTATGATTATGGTCACAAAGCCTCTGCTTAATTTTGCAAAAGAAAGCCATTTCCAAATCGTTTGCTTTGATTTTGTGAGCTATTTTGTTTAACACTCCCTCTTTTCATAACAGTAGAAGATCACATTAATAAATGCGCCTGAGCCAAGTTTCGAAATGCAAATAGTTATGAGAAACGCGTTGACAGATTGTTCCGCAAATCACGTGTCATTTCAGCGTTTGGAGGCTGCGTTTTGAGAAAAATTTTCTAAGTGTCACGGTCTGGGTTGTACGAAATTCGTACTGCCGGAAATTGGATAACAATCAAGAGAAAAAACAAAAGGGACATTTGCATAAAACACAGGCGCAACAACGATTGACAAAGGCATTTACACCTCCCGCAGACTAACGACAATAGACAATGGTTCAAACCCTAACCTTTCAAAATCTGTGGTTTTTGAAACCTTTCCACAAACTAATATCTTCCTAAAAAAAACACAAAATGGGAATAGCTTGCAAAATGCTGCCAATTTGCCCGAAATTTAGCGTAGAATTTGAAAATGGTCTCGATTGAGACATTTCAGGCTGCTGCGATTTGAGAAAAATTTCAAAGTGTCACTACTGTGTGTAAAATGTTGAAAATAAAAATTTCGGGTTTTTCACGTGAAAGGCTAGTTTAACTGATAACAAGGCCTGGCACAGTTGGGGAATTTGCAATTAAGGTCTAAATTTTGAGTTATTCATTGTTCAAGAACGGGGATGAAGGGGTCGCGCTTGTTGTTCTGGAGAGTGAACTTGAAGAAGGCTGGCACGTTGCGAGTGGCCTTGAGATTCAAACCCAAAAACAGGATAGCTTTGAAAATTCAATCAATTTGTGGAAATTTAGTGTAGAATTCGGAAATGGTGTCTTTTTGAAAGATTTTGGGGCTTTATTGTTGAAGAAGTCCCATGCAACAGGAAACCGTTTGATTTTTCAGGCTGCTGCGATTTGAGAAAAATTTTAAAGTGTCACTCCTGTGTGTAAAATGTTGAAAATAAAAATTTCGGGTTTTTCACGTGAAAGGCTAGTTTAACTGATAACAAGGCCTGGCACAGTTGGGGAATTTGCAATTAGGGTCTAAATTTTGAGTTATTCATTGTTTAAGAACGCATTTGAAGGGGTCACGCTTGTTGTTCTGGAGAGTGAACTTGAAGAAGGCTGGCACGTCGTGAGTGGCCTTGAGATTCAAACCCAAAAACGGGACAGCTTTGAAAATTCAGTCAATTTGCTGGAAATTTAGTGTAGAATTCGGAAATGGTGTCTTTTTGAAAGATTTTGGGGCTTTATTGTTGAAGAAGTCCTATGCAACAGGAAACCGTTTGATTTTTCAGGCTGCTGCGATTTGAGAAAAATTTCAAAGTGTCACTCCTGTGTGTAAAATGTTGAAAATAAAAATTTCGGGTTTTTCACGTGAAAGGCTAGTTTAACTGATAACAAGGCCTGGCACAGTTGGGGAATTTGCAATTAAGGTCTAAATTTTGAGTTATTCATTGTTTAAGAACGGGATTGAAGGGGTCGCGCTTGTTGTTCTGGAGAGTGAACTTGAAGAAGGCTGGCACGTCGCGAGTGGCCTTGAGATTCAAACCCAAAACGGGACAGCTTTGAAAATTCAATCAATTTGCTGGAAATTTAGTGTAGAATTCGGAAATGGTGTCTTTTTGAAAGATTTTGGGGCTTTATTGTTGAAGAAGTCCCATGCAACAGGAAACCCTTTGATTTTTCAGGCTGCTGCGATTTGAGAAAAATTTCAAAGTGTCACTCCTGTGTGTAAAACGTGAAAATAAAAATTTCGGGTTTTTCACGTGAAAGGCTAGTTTAACTGATAACAAGGCATGGCACAGTTGGGGAATTTGCAATTAAGGTCTAAATTTTGAGTTATTCATTGTTTAAGAACGGGATTGAAGGGGTCCACTTTTTTGTTCTGGAGAGTGAACTTGAAGAAGGCTGGCATGTCGCGAGTTGCCTTGAGATTTAAAGCCAAAAACGGGACAGGTTTGAAAATTCCGTCAATTTGTGCGAAATTTAGTGTAGAATTCGGAAATGGTGTCTTTTTGAAAGATTTTGGGGCTTTATTGTTGAAGAAGTCCCATGCAACAGGAAACCGTTTGATTTTTCAGGCTGCTGCGATTTGAGAAAAATTTTAAAGTGTGACTCCTGTGTGTAAAATGTTGAAAATAAAAATTTCCGGTTTTTCACGTGAAAGGCTAGTTTAACTGATAACAAGGCCTGGCACAGTTGGGGAATTTGCAATTAGGGTCTAAATTTTGAGTTATTCATTGTTTAAGAACGCAGTTGAAGGGGTCACGCTTGTTGTTCTGGAGAGTGAACTTGAAGAAGGCTGGCACGTCGCGAGTGGCCTTGAGATTCAAACCCAAAAACGGGACAGCTTTGAAAATTCAGTCAATTTGCTGGAAATTTAGTGTAGAATTCGGAAATGGTGTCTTTTTGAAAGATTTTTGGGCTTTATTGTTGAAGAAGTCCTATGCAACAGGAAACCGTTTGATTTTTCAGGCTGCTGCGATTTGAGAAAAATTTCAAAGTGTCTCTCCTGTGTGTAAAATGTTGAAAAAAAAAATTTCGGGCTGTTCACGTGAAAGGCTAGTTTAACTGATAACAAGGCCTGGCACAGTTGGGGAATTTGCAATTAAGGTCTAAATTTTGAGTTATTCATTGTTTAAGAACGGGATTGAAGGGGTCGCGCTTGTTGTTCTGGAGAGTGAACTTGAAGAAGGCTGGCACGTCGCGAGTGGCCTTGAGATTCAAACCCAAAAACGGGACAGCTTTGAAAATTCAATCAATTTGCTGGAAATTTAGTGTAGAATTCGGAAATGGTGTCTTTTTGAAAGATTTTGGGGCTTTATTGTTGAAGAAGTCCCATGCAACAGGAAACCGTTTGATTTTTCAGGCTGCTGCGATTTGAGAAAAATTTCAAAGTGTCTCTCCTGTGTGTAAAATGTTGAAAATAAAAATTTCGGGTTTTTCACGTGAAAGGCTAGTTTAACTGATAACAAGGCCTGGCACAGTTGGGGAATTTGCAATTAGGGTCTAAATTTTGAGTTATTCATTGTTTAAGAACGCAGTTGAAGGGGTCACGCTTGTTGTTCTGGAGAGTGAACTTGAAGAAGGCTGGCACGTCGCGAGTGGCCTTGAGATTCAAACCCAAAAACGGGACAGCTTTGAAAATTCAATCAATTTGCTGGAAATTTAGTGTAGAATTCGGAAATGGTGTCTTTTTGAAAGATTTTGGGGCTTTATTGTTGAAGAAGTCCTATGCAACAGGAAACCGTTTGATTTTTCAGGCTGCTGCGATTTGAGAAAAATTTCAAAGTGTCACTCCTGTGTGTAAAATGTTGAAAATAAAAATTTCGGGTTTTTCACGTGAAAGGCTAGTTTAACTGATAACAAGGCATGGCACAGTTGGGGAATTTGCAATTAAGGTCTAAATTTTGAGTTATTCATTGTTTAAGAACGCAGTTGAAGGGGTCACGCTTGTTGTTCTGGAGAGTGAACTTGAAGAAGGCTGGCACGTCGTGAGTGGCCTTGAGATTCAAACCCAAAAACGGGACAGCTTTGAAAATTCAGTCAATTTGCTGGAAATTTAGTGTAGAATTCGGAAATGATGTCTTTTTGAAAGATTTTTGGGCTTTATTGTTGAAGAAGTCCTATGCAACAGGAAACCGTGCTTGCCGTGTGTAAACTGTTAAACTATCCGCTAGATATCCTGGAGCAGTGGCTTCTGAAGACAAAGTCTGACTCCAAAGAACTGGAAAAGATTTTCCAAGAGAAGAAGCTCTTTACTGACAGCCAAGTTGAAAGCTGGAAAGAGAAGAACATTATTTTGTAAATAATCATTTTATTAATATTCATATCATTAAATAATCATTTGCAAAAATGACATTTATTAAACAGAACTAATGGTCGTCAGCATCACTTAAGCAAGGGTACATGAATCTAGGGTTCAAGAACTTTCTTGCAGAAATTTGCCTTTTCAATTCTGCAAACTTTACACTTCTGTTAAGCCAATCAATCTGGTATAAGCTCATTTTTGTGGGACGTAACTAATTAATTAAGATGTATTTTTACCAAAAAAACCAAAGAGGTAGCAGAAAATTGAATTGTTGAAATAGAACTATGTTAAATATATGTTAGATATTATGTTAAATATCAGCTGTTATTATGAAACAGTTCTTGCTATAATTTGTGTGTCAAGCAGTGGTTGATTACTACAAATTTATCCATTAAATGTGGTATTAATTTAGTGTTCCTTGAGCTAGAAAAGAAAGATTATGTTTGAAATCATGTTAAACTGGGGTTAAAGGAAAATACCTATAGAGCATCTGTGAATTGAACAAAGAAGGCTGTTTACAAGTAAATTCACTATGTGGAAAAGCTCAGAAAAGTAAAATAGGTGCTTATCGTAATCATATCAGGGCACAATGTTAGTCGCCCCGGTATGTGCAAATCACATTGATAAAAGAATGCAACACATAATTAAAATTAGATTGGGAATACAATATAGAAGGATGGTTATCCCACCCTTATTGTATCAAGATCATATAATGTTTGAATCTATATCTATAGAGAAAATGCAGGAATTTATGAATATAGTTTGGGAACCTCAAAAACAAAATCTTCTAAACTTAATCATTGATAGCAGTATAAGAAGAAAATGACTTCTAAGAACAAACATGGTAAGGACTAAAGTACCCATATTAGGAGATATTTACTTAGAAGATATAGAGAAATGCATAAACACTACAAAAGTGAATAGAAACAAATTAAAAGATAGAAATAAATCTTACCACAATATTGGTTGACCATAATTCTAGATTAGGCACACAGCAACAGCTAGGTAGATTGAGATTCAGTCTGTGTCTACAATTTCAAACAAGTCTTTTTAGTGTGGTGAAATCATGAAATAATGAAATATGCTCAATAATTTAGTGTTCCTTGAGCTAGAAAAGACAGATTATGTTTGAAATCATGTTAAACTGGGGTTAAAGGAAAATACCTATAGAGCATCTGTGAATTGAACAAAGAAGGCTGTTTACAAGTAAATTCACTATGTGGAAAAGCTCAGAAAAGTCAAATAGGTGCTTATCGTAATCGTATCGGGCACAATGTTAGTCGCCCCGGTATGTGCAAATCACATTGATAAAAGAATGCAACACATAATTAAAATTAGATTGGGAATACAATATAGAAGGATGGTTATCCCACCCTTATTGTATCAAGATCATATAATGTTTGAATCTATATCTATAGAGAAAATGCAGCAATTTATGAATATAGTTTGGGAACCTCAAAAACAAAATCTTCTAAACTTAATCATTGATAACAGTATAAGAAGAAAATGACTTCTAAGAACAAACATGGTAAGGACTAAAGTACCCATATTAGGAGATATTTACTTAGAAGATATAGAGAAATGCATAAACACTACAAAAGTGAATAGAAACAAATTAAAAGATAGAAATAAATCTTACCACAATATTGGTTGACCATAATTCTAGATTAGGCACACAGCAACAGCTAGGTAGATTGAGATTCAGTCTGTGTCTACAATTTCAAACAAGTCTTTTTAGTGTGGTGAAATCATGAAATAATGAAATATGCTCAATAATTTAGTGTTCCTTGAGCTAGAAAAGACAGATTATGTTTGAAATCATGTTAAACTGGGGTTAGAGGAAAATATCTATAGAGCATCTGTGAATTGATCAAAGAAGGCTGTTTACAAGTAAATTCACTATGTGGAAAAGCTCAGAAAAGTAAAATAGGTGCTTATCGTAATTGTATCAGGGCACAATGTTAGTCGCCCCGGTATGTGCAAATCACATTGATAAAAGAATGCAACTCATAAATAAAATTAGATTGGGAATACAATATAGAAGGATGGTTGTCCCACCCCTATTGTATCAAGATCATATTATGTTTGCATCTATATCTATAGATAAAATGCAGCAATTTATGAATATAGTTTAGGAACCTCAAAAACAAAATCTTCTAAACTTAATCATTGATAACAGTATAAGAAGAAAATGACTTCTAAAAACAAACACGGTAAGGACTAAAGTACCCATATTAGGAGATATTTACTTAGGAGATGTAGAGAAATGCATAAACACTACAAAAGTGAATATAAACAAATTAAAAGATAGAAACAAATCTTACCACAATATCGGTTGATCATAAATCTAGATTAGGCACACAGCAACAGCTAAGTAGATTGAGATTCAGTCTGTGTCTACAATTATAAACAAGTCTTTTTAGTGTGGTGAAATCTTGAAATAATGAAATATGCTCAATAATTTAGTGTTCCTTGAGCTAGAAAAGACAGATTATGTTTGAAATCATGTCTACCATATTTAATTTAAACTGGTGTTAAAGGAAAATACCTGTTTAATCAAATGTCATAATCAAATGTCATTTCGAGTCATCTTGAGCTCACTACACAAGTGGAAATTAGGACGACAGCTAACATTCTCAAGAGGTCCTTGAAAAAATATGAATCTCTGGCAATCATCTAACATTTCACAACTTTCACTCACTCTGAAGTACAATTTTCTCGCTTCTGTAAGAAAATGTCTCCACTGCTGCTTCCCAACAACAAAGATGGCCGTTGACATGAAAGGGAGGTCCCTAGCTTTTCAGGAAGGGAGGTTGCTAAAGTTCTCTACCTCTAGCTGCATCTAATGAAGTGCTCAAGGCCCTGTCGATTGCCCCTCTTGTCTAATAATTGTTCGGCTTGATAATTTAATATCAAAATGCAAACCGAGGTTTTTGCTTTTTCAATAGAGAGTATGCTGAAAAGTTTTTTTTATTCGATATGAAAAGTTACAAACAAGACTACCGAAAACTTTACTGAATAGAAACTGCTATACTACATAACAAGAGCCTTCTAGCACAAACAACAATGTTAAAAAACGAATGGAGATTTAAAGATTTTTGTTCCTGCATTATTCGAATCCTTCGGAGGCCTGGATGTTCAAGGCCATATTGGATGACTTTTAACAAACCACGAGGCAACAATATTGCATGTACACTGTTGAGAAGATCACCTCTATTTACATCATAAGTATGGCAGCGCAGAAAATAGTGCTTCGATTTGTTTGGCATAAAGGGTTCAAAGTATCCCTAAAATTATGTTTGAATTGATGAACATTTAGCTTACTGAGTTCGACCCGTAGCTGTGTTAGGATGGACAAGCCTTTTGGATCATCAAAACGATTGAAAGTCAAACTTCCTTGAAAATATTAATAGAGCTGGATAGTCAATTTTCAGAGTCTGGCCTTTCCCATTCAGATAAGTAGTTTTGGTAGAAGGTTAATTTGAAACATAGGGTTCTTTTTTCATTAGATTAGGTAATACAACATCATGACTAAAATCGCAAATAACATGTAGGATATGGTTTTTCTGAGGCTGCTGCTGGTGGGAGAAAAGGAGGATCAACCCTTAGACATAAAGAATGTCCCAAAATCTTTTACAAAATAGCGTTATAGAAGTGACACAAATAATTTCAAGATGCTTATCTCCTAACTTACTGGTACTGGGAAGTCGGGCTTTCTCAAAAAGCGTCACTTACTCGAGGTGTTTTGCTCCTTGGGATGCTGTCAAGAAGCCGCCCGACTATTAAAATTTTTCAATGCCTTGCCAGTTTCCTACCAATCGCTTCGCCTTAGTCTAGAGGGAATAATCTATTCTTTTCTTGAAGTTTGATGTTGAATGGTACGGATGTCCTATTCAAGTGAAATGTTCCATCCAGCACAGGTGTTTGATTCCGGAAAGATTGATGGTGGATAGAGACATGTCTTATGGGAAAGTATGAAAAGAAAAGACTTACTTTGATTTACCGGCTCTCTTCTCTATATAACCATTCTCGGTACCTGAAAAAAATCAGTTGGCATCAGTCTTTACACGATACATTAAAGATGAAGCGATCTTCTGTAAGACGTAAGTAAGGTTTTTGCTCTAATCGGCTCAAATTATACATATATTCATCATTTTAGTCTCAGGTAACAAGGCTATATCTAATGGTCTATATTCTTGTTCTAGGTTCCAGTGGGGGTATGGTTGATGGAGAAAAATTGAAGACAGAGCAACCCGAGACTACTGTGAAAGAGCAACTTGTTGATGTTGAAGGTAAAATAATATCGTCTTCTGTCATTACTAGGACACATAGTTCCTGTGTTCTGTCAAAACTAATATTGAATGAATGAGAAACCGTAGCAAACCAGATAGATCTTTGGTATGATAAAATTAATTATCTGTATGCTTTTCTCGTCAATCTTTTGCTGTAGAAATTTAGGACATACAATTTTCCTGTCACACGTCAATCTTTCTTTTTGAAGCATTCGTAATTATTACACTATTACTAGGCGTAGCTTAATAACTTCAAAGGGTGATTCTTTAATTCTTTGGTAATGTCTCTTAAAATGTTTCAACTAAATTGTTAAGGCCTTTAGCATCAATGTCTGTAATCGTTTATTACCAATTGACAGAGTCTACGACTTATGAAAACTGTGAATCTCCTTGAAAAGCTCACAAAGTATTGCATTGGAGTTAGACATTCTGTGACTCTGTACTTCAAGATGTCTGAGGTTATCTTACGTTTGTAAATTCTAAACGTTAATGAATATTACCTCTAAACCGAAGGCCAAGAGAAAAGATGGTTGGCATTTGAATCAAATGGAACATTGTGGATAAGCATGGAACAAGTGAAGGCCGAGTTCACAAAAAATATACAAAGCTCGACTCTCCGCAGCAGAATGCACAGATTGAAGATAAATTGCAAGAAACCCGAGGGGATCCTGTGCTTGAAGCTCGAAGAGAAATTTGGACCATTACGTCATTACGTCATCCCATTAGACAGTCTTCATTTGCTGCTACAGAAGCAGAGTGTGCTTCAACTACCACAAGCAGCAGTCGCCAATGTGGAGGCGGGTACAAGTTACGAAGCAGCTTCAAGCATGCAGGATGGAGTGTCTTCATTTGAAGTATTTTTCGAAAAGCTCCGGGAATTCTACACGGATGAAATAAACCCGTTAAGACCATCAAACGATATGACAGCAGGGACAATCGAACGCCACACAAGAAGGTTAAAGAAGTTCTTTGAACATGTAGAAGAGACATATAACAGACCCCCACAAATGGAGGATGTTACAAACATCAACTTTGTTAGGGCATATGTGGCGGAATTGATGAGGGAGCTAAACGTGGGTACAGTTGCCAACCATATTCAAAGCCTGATAGTGGCAGCAAAATATATTCTGAAAAAAGAGGGCCTAACAAAAAGTTGGCATGAAATTGCAGAAATAACACAATTGAGGCACATGCAGGCCCAACTGCAAGTGAGTATTCCAGTTCACCTTAGCTATATATATTATCCCTTTCCATTAGAAATTCTACAATAGGAACTTGAGTTGCATTTCATTCTATATCATAATATTAAATTCTGGCTGCCTAAATTCTACTGTCAAGAATGGTTGATGAAGCCAGCCGAAGTAGAGTCATTTAGTATATTCAATTTTTTTTTAAATTCTTTTTGACTACATTGGATTTTCACCGTCCTGTGGCTTAGTTACCGGCTATTATTCCTATTTTAATCAGCGGACAGCATATCCTGCGTTTCTTTCTATTTACACATACATTTTACACATCGCTTTTTGATATTTTTAGTTTAAATTTACCACTGTTTTTTTAGAGCCTCTATGAAAGAGAGTGGAGACAAAGGTAGCCGGAAACCGATGAAAGAAAGAACTTTGAATGGAAACAGGTTTTAGAAACATTAAAATTGATGAGGGATAGGATAATTTCGTCGAAAGAGATGGATGGGTATCAAAAGGCAAGGTTATACCATGATTTTGTAATACTTTTATTGTTCACCACAGTGAGCCCATCAAGGAATGCAGATTTGATGAAACTAAAAATACTATTTGACGAGGAACAGGGGAGTGTTTCAGAAAACTACATTTTATTTAAGGAAAATGGCAGTACTACAATGGTTGTAAATGATTTTAAAACGAAGAAAAAATACGGGTGCAATAGAGTGGACATCTCCAGTTACGATTATGTCAACCAACATCTACGTAAATATGTTGAGGAGGAGATGGAGAAGCTTATGTTGAGTAAGAGACATGATTTTCTTCTAATGAAGGGCACGGGGCAACCATTTGACACATCTGAGTCGTTTACTGTTTACATCGAAAAGGCGTTTCAGCGACACAATGGGGGCTTGAAGTTCACAACTACGACCCTCCGAAAAGCGCTCGTAAACTGGCTAATGTGCAACGAGAAGGAGGACGAAGTGAGAAATTCAGTTGCAAGACTCATGAGCCACTCACCACGAGTTCAGCGCCTTCGCTACAACACAGATGATTCAGCAGGAAAAATAAAAAGGGCCGCTGACCACCTCACTTCTAAAACATTGACTTTTTTGGGAGAGGACGAAAATGACACAGAAACAGAAGCAGAAGATACCCCTTTATAAATTTCACAAGATTTAACGAACGTTAATAATTACATTATTTTAGAAAACTAAGACATTGCTAATTTCGTGTTTTTAGCTAGTCGTAATTTAGAAATTATTTAACATTACTTGTAACAATATTTTATCTTTCTGATCCAAGGTTGTCAACATAATCACTTGCCTTTGCCTTTTTTCAATCTTTATATGCATGTTTGTATTATTGCCTGTGTCATTTTTCATAAGTAAGGTTAATTGATTGATTTGCGGAAAGCTCTATTTACTTTTCTGACCAACAGTTTATCAACATATCCAACACATTTGCATGCTTTCTAGGCATATCAATTTACGGTGTATTATTCTCTGTCACCAATTCTATATACCAAAGCAGAAAACGTAAATAGTAGATTGAAATGGGCATGCCGTAGCATATCCTTGGCAGCATTTCATGCTTTTTGTATGCAGAAACAAGTTTAATTGCGCACTTAGCATGAACAAAGATTATGGGAGCTGAATTGATATCAAAATGATCGTTATCTTTTAGTTTAATTTGTATTCCAAGGTAAACTTAAATGACTCATTTCTAAAGAAATAAATTAGAAATTGGAAATTTTATCAATAGCTAGATCGTCAACGAAAAGGTTTTTTGAGTAACATAAACAATTTTGCATGGTTATGTAGTGTACCTAACCACCTCAGCATTATTATGATTATGGTCACAAAGCCTCTGCTTAATTTTGCAAAAAAAAAGCCATTTCCAAACCGTTTGCTTTGATTTTGTGAGCTATTTAGTTTAACACTCCCTCTTTTCATAACAGTAGAAGATCACATTAATAAATGCGCCTGAGCCAAGTTTCGAAATGCAAATAGTTGTGAGAAATGCGTTGACAGATTGTTCCGCAAATCACATGTCATTTCAGCGATTGGAGGCTGCGTTTTGAGAAAAATTTTCCAAGTGTCACGTCTGGTTTGTACGAAATTCGTACAGCCGGAAATTCGATAACCATCAAGAGAAAAAACAAAAGGGACATTTGCATAAAACACAGCCGCAACAACGATTGACAAAGGCATTTACACTTCCCGCAGACTAACAACAATAGACAATGGTTCAAACCCTAACCCAACCCTAACCCTAACCCCAACCCAACCAAATGATAGAACATAATCACAACAACAAACAGCAAACAGCTGCGCACCCAAAGGCGTTTCTTTTCTCTTAATAGAGTTTGATAAAATTAGAATTCTAAATCACAGTATTCATTTGAAAATTTTATTAAAAACGTTTAAGAATGATGATCCGCAAATAAATAATGTTGCTAGAATATGTCTGTATATGAGATTCTACTATTGCTGCGAAACTAGCCCCTATTTTTCTCGCCTAGAGAATTCTAACTCAACCAAGGTTAGATCACTATATAATATAAACTTTCCTACGATTAATAATTTCAATTCAGATAATGGAGGCAATGTTTCAGTCTACTCAAAAGAAAAGGTTTATAATAGATATCTTACGCTGAATCTAAATATATATCTTTCAGCTATCTAAAAACTACTTTTCAAAAGAGGGCCCATATCTGAAGCTCTATTGATAAAATTGCTTTTTGAATGTTTTTGATTTGTTTTTTCTTCTATTTTAGTTTTTTTGCCAGGTACTGAAAGGAAGAAGAAGCGTGTAACAGCATCTGCTGCACTAGGTGAGTATAGGGCCCTCTATGAACAAGGTGAGTCATCCACTTCCATAGAGGGTCCTAGTAATCCTGAAGATGTAGCTACTTTGGGTGAAATTTCTCTTGATGTTGATTTGCAGGAGGAGCTCCAAGTCACACAGACTGAGGGCCTCATTAATAGTTTTACTCTTGATGAGAGCAGTCATAATGTTGTATCAGAGCAACTGCTTGCAAATCAGCAGATTTTGGGATACATTCAAAGTGCTCCATCTGAAGCTCTATTTCCAGGGATGCAATCAGGCTGCAAGGAGACGCACTCAACTTTGGCATCATTCCAGCAACCAATCTAGGTATTAGGATATGTTGATGCATTCAGCATTTCCTGATGGTGATTGCAAGCATGTGCAAACATTTGTTGGCAATAACAGTTCATATGTACTGTCTCCACCTTCTTCTAAGGACAATATTTTCCAATTAGACCTAACATACTATGGGTGTGCGGATGTTGTCCTGAGTGCGGAAGGGATGACCTCTCCAATCACTAATAAGATGAAGAAAACAATGCTGAGTTGGACGTGCTCAAAGCTGCGTTGAACTATACCCATGGTGTTTGGAATAGGATCTTTTGGCAAGTGGGTAGGTTTCTTGTGCACTCATCCTCCTGTTTGGGACCGTCTAGAGAAGAAATTGCACTTTGCTTAGGCAAAAGGGTGTTTCAGAAGAGGCAAGAGAGTAACGAGCAATTGTTGCTACTTCTGGCTGCAATATGTGCATATGGGCTGTTCCGGGACCTCAGTCTCAAGGCAATCATTTCTGTCAGATAGACTCATGTGCACGCCTCATCAACATTAGGTATGAGAATACGAGCACCGGCTTTTGCAGCGCAAGCTTAGGTTGGTGGAGAGACATGAACCTACCGCTGATGTGCTCTGCTTTTTTAATGTTACTTGACCTATAGGATTTTTTGCGATAACAGTGGAGGACTGCCTACAGCAGTGGTGGACTGCCTTAATAACAAGTACATACCTGAAACATCATGTTTTTACAACCACTCTGGTACTGAACTTATTCGTTCATTATATTATCGTTATTTGGATGAAGTACTACCAGCAACATACATATTTGACTTGTTCAAGTTAAAGTTGACAGGCCTACCTGATAGATACCGAAACTTATTATTTTATAGAAAATTATATATCAAAAGAGAATTATACGACAAAAAAGTCACGGCCTTCTTTATTCTCCAGCTCCTTATGATCCGCCAATGGATAAATGTTTTTCTGCTATTGCTCTGACTTCTATCAAAAATAAAATTTTAATGTACAACTAGGATTCGATAGATAACAAAACGGAATCTTATAGAAGGATCCCACCGGCCAAATGATAAAACATAATCACAACAACAAACAGCAAACAGCTGCGCACCCAAAGGCGTTTCTTTTCTCTTAATAGAGTTGGATAAAATTAGAATTCTAAATCACAGTAATCATTTGAAAATTTTATTAAAAACGTTTAAGAATGATGATCCGCAAATAAATAATGTTGCTAGAATATGTCTGTATATGAGATTCTACTATTGCTGCGAAACTAGCCCCTATTTTTTTCGCCTAGAGAATTCTAACTCAACCAAGGTTAGATCACTATATAATATAAACTTTCCTACGATTAATAATTTCAATTCAGATAATGGAGGCAATGTTTCAGTCTACTCAAAAGAAAATGTTTATAATAGATATCTTACGCTGAATCTAAATATATATCTTTCAGCTATCTAAAAACTACTTTTCAAAAGAGGGCCCATATCTGAAGCTCTATTGATAAAATTGCTTGTTGAATGTTTTTGATTTGTTTTTTCTTCTATTTTAGTTTTTTTGCCAGGTACTGAAAGGAAGAAGAAGCGTGTAACAGCATCTGCTGCACTAGGTGAGTATAGGGCCCTCTATGAACAAGGTGAGTCATCCACTTCCATAGAGGGTCCTAGTAATGCTGAAGATGTAGCTACTTTGGGTGAAATTTCTGAGTTGGACGTGCTCAAAGCTGCGTTGAACTATACCCATGGTGTTTGGAATAGGATCTTTTGGCAAGTGGGTAGGTTTCTTGTGCACTCATCCTCCTGTTTGGGACCGTCTAGAGAAGAAATTGCACTTTGCTTAGGCAAAAGGGTGTTTCAGAAGAGGCAAGAGAGTAACGAGCAATTGTTGCTACTTCTGGCTGCAATATGTGCATATGGGCTGTTCCGGGACCTCAGCCTCAAGGCAATCATTTCTGTCAGGTAGACTCA